CCATATCACTTCTAAGAGGTCCTCCAGGTATCGGCTTTCAGTACCTTGACGCTGAAAAAATTTTGATCTGAATAATCGGAAACTTGCAAATATCTCTTTTCCAATTGAGGATAAGGATGCTGCATGCAAGAGTTATGCTGCATGATGAGGAGGTCGTGAAAGTCTCAGATGCTTATATAAAGGATTCAGAAATGCCCAATAAAAAAATAAATGTCATGGTACATATCAACTTTCTCGAGAAAGAATTACCTGCTGTAAAATCAGTAGTAGAAACTCTTGATGGAAAAGTTACTCACGAAATGATAAAAGTGAATTCGAAGTTGGACAAACTCGATGAGGAAGTAAAGACAATTCGAGAAAAATTGAAAAAACTAATGGAAAAAATTTTATTTCTCTGAATGAAAAGTTATCATCACTGGAAGGGATTCAGGTTGAAATTAAAGCGTTGATTGATGATGCTGTTAGAAATATAGCATCAAATAAGAACGAACTAGCAGAATTAATAAGAATTCAAAATCAATTGTTTGAACGACTCAGAAAAATTGAGCGTCAATGAGGAGCGGACCTTCAAACTGATTTTCAGCTAAATGAGAAACATTCTAAGTCTATAAATTCATCAAATGCATTTGTAATCTTGGTTAACAAAAATGAGCTAATGTACAATATAAAATAATTGATAGACAAAAGATTGACTATTCACTCTACCTGAAGTATTTACGGTTTGGCTTAGAAAAGTCATTTCATCTAATCAAGAGCGAAAAACACATTAAAAATATTCGAAAATATAGAATAATTTAGGATGAAATTAAATTAAACTTAATTGAGGGTAGTTCATTTACACGCTATAGTCAATCGAGGCAGCCTTTGAGGATGCTTTGATGAAATTTCTTATAAAAATGGAAGACGTAATATCAGATGTTCAAAAAGAGGTGATGTCCAATTCAGGAAATATTAATCAGCTGCAGATTGATGTTGATAATATTCGCCATGATATTCGCCATCTCTCCACTGAAATAAATCAGATTATAATTCAAGTGAACATATTAGAACAAACATTAAAAAGGATTTTAGGAATAAAAAATGCTCTATAAGTGGCAAGACGATAATAAAAATAAACAGAAGAGCCATTTTGTTTTTCCTTCTCCAAGCTTGAGGTGTCTCATAATTGGAAGATCGAACTGTAAATAAACGTTATTTCTACGGAAGTTGCTATTGGAGAACTTTATTGATTTCAACAATTTTTTCCTGTATAGCGAATTAACTCATCAGCCTGAATATAAGTTGTTGAAATATGCTTTCGATAAGGGATATAATAAGTCTGAAATCATCAATTTATCTTCTGACGGCTGTGGCAATTTGAGGAATATCTTGAAAACCTACCTAAAAGACTTCAACAAAAATGTGCAGTCGAATATTTTGAAAATACTGCTTTTGTACATGATCCCAGTGATATAGATCCAAGGAAGAAAAATTTGTTCATTTTTGATGATATTGCTACGGAAAAGAATCATAATCCTGCTGATAGTTTTTACACCCGTGGGAGACATAATAACTGTAGTTAAATTTATTTATCCCAAAACTATCACATACTACCAAGAAAAACCATTAGAACGAATTCAAATTTATTAATTCTATTCGAGTTCTTTTCATCAATATGAAGAATATTCATAGTGTTTACATTGCTTGTGATATGCCCTTTGCAGAGTTTCAAGAACTATGTAATGAAACGTATAAAATACCTTATAGTTTTGTGTTGATCAATAAAGAAGAGCACCCCGGTTCTGGAAAGTATTTCAAAAGTTTAAATCAATTATACATCCCAAAAAAGTATCTTCCATCAAAACAATCGCCCAAGCCCTGAGTTCTCGGCTAAAAAGTGCTCGGTCCATTGGGGTAATTGGTCGTTAACCCATGAAATTGATGATCAAGATTCGAGGTAAGATTGTAAGGTTTTTGATCGAAAGACAGTGCTCAAATTTTTGACGGTGAGGGTTCTAAATAAAATTGTAGGTAAATGACCGGGGTAATTGATCAATTTTGATGAGTAATATTCGGGGTAAATGATCAGTACCCTGTTGCGCTGTTCATGCAAATTGTGACGGTATGCTCACTCCTATACTACTGGTAGAGATATGTTTTTATTTTCTTCGTGTTTATTTCGCCAACCTGCCTGCCTGAATTCTTGAATAAATGATACGCAGGAGACATCATATCTTGCTGCAGCCCATTAATGTTGAAACTCACACAGTCCATTAGTGCTGCGGTCAATGGGTTGTAAAATCCTATGTATGGAGAAACATAATGTAAAGAAAGAGGTGGCAAATAAGTAAAAGTGAAGAAGGAAAAACAGGAATGTGTTTGAGTTGTGTGAATGATTGTTTCATGTACGAATAGTAGTAACTGATAAGGTGGCCATTAATTGTTTCGATTAGCTAGGAATAATTAGGATTATTTTAAAAAATATTTCATGCAAAATTGATTTTGTGTTTCTACGAATGAAATTAGGGACCGTGAGATATTATTTGGCTAACAGGTGGCGCGTCGGACTTATAATTATGTACTGAGTATGACAAAAAGTTGTTCATATGTGAATGAGTTGTGGGCACGCATGATATAATTTTACTCAATTTAACGTTGTAATGTAGATTTATTCGGTTTTATCATGTAGAAATAACCACTAGGATTGAAGAAAGTCTTGATGCCTTTTAGGGAAGTTGAAAAGCCTTTTTTTAAAGCCTCAAGCCTTTTTTAGGGAAGTTGAAAGGACATAAAGCGTAGGTAATTCTGGCTTTATTCTGTACCATAATATTGAACATAGCTTGGGTGCAGGTGCTGAGATAATAGAAATTTGGGTTGAAGTGATACATAGTGTGTAAGACACGTCGGTTGTTTCGTGGCCATGGGACTGGGTGTTGTTTACATTGTACATTGAGGAGCCTGTCGCAAGGGAAATTCCATCAGTTGAAAAAATAATTAAGCGTCATTTCGAGGGGTAGGCTTAATTTTGCGACGGCTGCCTGTACAAAGACCCTAAATTCACTCCAAAATGTTGTTCTACTGTGATGACTGTCACGCAAGTACGCTCTGCAGCTATCTCCGCAGACGTAGGTGACGGCCCGGCCGTCGGCCGGCGGGGGTTAAACATAACAGCAGCGCGGGACTTCGAGACGTTCATACCACTTCGACTCTGATACAATAACGTCAAAAATTTAAGACTAACGGCCGTAACTTCGCTTATTTGTACGGTCAACATTCATTGCTTCGGTTGGAACTTTGTCGTAAGACAACGCGAGAGGCCAAAAGATGTCCAACGATTAAGAAGATTGAGCACTGAGCAACAATTATCAACAGTACGGCCATCAACACGATACGGTTACAGTCATCGCCAGTAGCGGTACGGTCACGATCACCAACATCAGAAACACGATAATGAGCTTGGAGTAACATCATCAACGAAAAAGACTTCACCACTATTAAGATGTACGGTCGTTGGAAAACAACCTACGGCAAGACTGACCGTGAGACATCTATATTAGCGAGACACGACGGCTATGACGAATGAGCGCCGGGGATGCGCGGCTACGTCTGCGGTACGACCGCTGGAAATACGCCCGCAAACGAGCGCGTGAATAACGGTCATTTACGTCTTATACTCAACGGACGGTATAGGTTCAACAAAATATTCTGGTATAAATAGAAGATTTGAGTGTTGTTAACTGACAGATTTTTAACTTTGATTGTGTTCGAATTTTCTTTTGCTGTAATAGAAATTTTTTATTGTATGCTGTTGCATGAAATTCCCCAATTTAATATAAATGGTACCAGTGTTTTATTGCAATCCTCTCTCTGTACGATTTGCGCCGTAACCTATTTCATATACGAGAACCTATAAACGCGGATACTCCGTGTAAAGCCTAACGCTAAGGACGCAACCTGACTAAATTAAAGAAGCAATCGCCGATCAATCAATTAATTAACTTATCACAAGCTTAAAAAAACAATCAATGATAAACTCACTCATATCATAACACGAAATAAACTATTTTGGAAAAATGTTGAGATGAAAATTGTCACAAATAAACTCTTCTAGAAAAATTGTCTTACAAGAGTTGAAGACTAACACGAAATCAACTTTTGTGGGAAAAATGTCGATGTAATTATATAATATAATAAAATTTATGTTACGTTATAATTAGTTTATGAAAATTGAAGTTCGATATTCGTTGGGGTAAATATAATGAGGAATAAAATTTTTTATTCAAATTTCACTTTTTAGTAGATCATATGATTGTATAAAATTAATCAATTGTTTCGTTGGTATTAAATTTTGCATATTTGAATTATGTGTAGTTGGGTGTATTACAATGAATTCCTCCCATTCGTTTGGCCAAATCAACAAGGAATCAAAATGTTAATTAAGAAAAATTTAGAACAAAAGTTTTCGTTTACTGATATTTATTAGGTTCTCGGAACGCAAAAACTTTGAATTGTAAATTGAAAAATTAAGAACATGCAAACACCAAGCACTATAAAAAACGAGCTAATTGTCATTTCTTTCTGAAAATGTTTAGTTACTTATTATTATTGACTGAAACTGTAATTGTCTTATCCATTACTTGAATGGGCAAGAAAAAAAACACCCCACAATTCTGGTTCATTCAAAATTTACGCCAAGTATTGGAATTGATGATATGAATGTAAAAAGCTGTCAAAACTCAAATTAATTATCGATTTAAAAACCGATTAATGGCCTAAATTTTCTCAATTTTGTTCTTTCGTGAATTGTAGGCTGAGATTATCGGAGATATCGGTATGAGATTATCGGTATTTTCGGTAGGCTGAGCAAACGCATCAATCTGAGTATACTCTAACTCAGTTCTCTAAACCTACTCGTTGTGTTCATGTATTTTATCCTACGAATAAGCAGAACTGAAATTTAAAAGGCCATTAAATAAGCATAACGGCGATGAAAGCCATACTATATTAAAAGACTTACTAACCTTTCTATAACGCATAAACCTCTTTGGGTGATGGTTCTTCTCGACGAGGTCTCCATGAAGTAGATATGATACGCCCCGACTTCTGGCTCGATGTCTCTGTCAGCAAAATTAATATTGAAACATGCTTGGTAATATATGATTTGTTCTTAGACACGTATATCCTTGTTCAATAAAATCATCCGATGAAGAATCCAATTTTTCACTAGCTATCAAGAAAATCATTATAAATAAAATACTTAAAAAAACTTAAAAAAAAACGTTTTTCTTGTGGACTATAAAGTAGAAAATAAATTATGGCTCGCCCCAAAAACGTGTGTCGGGAAGATTTATGATTAAAGCGAAAAGCACACAACACACGAGTTTTGGAAATTTGATGGTGAACGTACAGCCCGACCCACGTTTTTTGGGGCGAGCCATAATTTATTTTCTACTTTTTAGTCCACAAGAAAAACGTGTAACGTGTGTCGGGGTGATACGTGAGTTGTATATACGTGTATATATACAACTTAATCAATTAAGCTAATTTAGGTCTCTAATTGCTAGTTTTTATGATTGCATATGAAATTGTTAGGCGAAAATAGCCTGCATGCCGAATTTCAGACCTCTAGAGCAATAAGAAGTGGGCTAATTTTCGTTGTCAATTTTAACAACAATCAAACGCGAAGCTGAGTAAAGAAAGACGTGTTAATAATTAATTAATGAAATAAATGAAAAACGTCATATTGAAAACCGCGATGGAACGAATTGGGCTCTGTAGCCAAGGAAGTTAACAAAACGAACGAATGTTTTCTTTCTTCTATCGTTCTTACGAGCTGCAGGTGACCAAATACCAATCTTTACTGGAGGCCTGGCAATAGGTTATGAACAATTAAACAAGTTTCACAATGGCTAAAATGATGCTAATGCTTAGATTTTTTAAACAACACTCATGCAGTGTCTTCGCAAATGTTTTATTGATTCATTTATGAATTGAATGTCAGTTTTTATAGCATTGATTTGATGAGTAAAATTCTATTACCATCCGATTCAGTGTAGAAAGCAAACGACTTTAATGAATTCAAATACCATTTCCTAGTTTGAAGTTACTACAGAAATTTTCTCGTTATTCAAGTTAATTTTCAAAATATGAACCTCTTTAACGTCTTAAAAAATTTAGTAATCTCCTTCCGTCTGAATTAGTATAGTATAGTATCTTCGGCATGGAAGAATAAGCCTGGATAGGCCTGTCGCCGATTCTTGTACTTTTCTTGACTAGTTCAGATCTAAAAGACTGGCCTTTTGATCAAATCTTTTCAACCAACGGTAGGTTTAAAATCGTTTCTAGATTTCCGTTATTCCGTAGGATACGAGGCATTTCAATACTAAACATGTGCTCCTGCATGGCCTTGTCTAGTCTGTTCTTGAACGCGTTCATACTCGGAGCGTCAACAATATCTTCAGGGACGGTGTTCCACATGTCGGTGACTCGAAGCGAGAAGAAATGTTGTCCCATGGATGAGTTGCACCGCAGTTTATTTAGTTTATAGTTGTGGCCCCTGGTGTTGGTTCTTGTTTCAAATTCTAGTAATCCTTGTGGGACCTTGTACAAACTATGAGTATACTTGTTTACTTCGGGGCGCATGCCGAAGGCCAGCTTTGCCAAACTTCACACTTGGTTTACATTCCTTTCCATTGGTAAGAACGCTAGAATGCATAACGGCCTATGAAGCCAAGTGCTCAAAGCCATAGCGCCGGATGTCCACAGCCACAAAATAAGCTTGCCAAAGCTGAATATGGCCATACTGCATCTGGCCAAACCTCCTTTGACCTAACCTCTTCAGCCTAACCTGTACGAGCTGCAACTTTTCTCCACCCAAACAAACCTGAGCGGACCTGACCTAACCTAACCTCATTGGCTGCAATAAGTTATAAAGGCGGTCTAAATGAGCTGGTAGAGCCAGTCATTGGCTGCAAGAAGGTTGTGAGCCGGGACAGCGTTAATAGGTTAGGCCAGAAGAGGCTAGGCCGCAGTAGGTACAGCCGGATGGGGAACTGACTGCTTATGAGCGAGCATGCTTAAGCTTTGGCTGAAGACCTGAGGCGCCATTATCTTTCGGCAGTGCGTCGCTTGTCAGGATTATGGGCTTCAAGCGTAGTCTGCGGCTTCTAGTTCTGAGGCTTACTAAAGTTAATGCATGATGAAGCTAGGCGTCGGCTCCAGGGTTTATTTCAGAAATTATGAGTAAAATTTGTAGCCTACGGCTGCGCCCCTGTTTACTACAATGAGGTCACTGCGCAGGCGACGATAACGGAAACTGGGAAGCTTTATAATCTTCAATCTTTCTTCTTAAGTCTTGCCCTTTAAACCTGAAAATTTTCTTGTTGCACGTCATTGAACACTCTCTACTAAATTTTTGTTCTTTTCAAAAGTCACAACGTTTCCACATTCTAGGCTCGGGCGCACGACACAGGTGAACAACTGTTTCATTATTTCTACATTCAGGTACTCGTATGAGAGTCTGATCAGCCCAAGCAGTTCTTTGGATTTATTAACTTGCGTTTCAGTATGAATTTTAGCTAGAGAATTTTAGGTCCTTGTCGACAAAAACGCCTAGATCTTTTTCCACGCAAGGCTTCTTAATCATAACCCTCTCGTTGCAACCATGTCTTCTCATGCTGTAAGCTTGCTGTTCATTGTTCTTCCCGAGGTGAAGTCCTTTACACTTGTCAGCATTGAAACGCATTGTCAACTAACAACAGCAATGTTGACTGTCAACAGCATTGTCAACTAAACTATCGAGATTTTTTTGCAGTTGCATTTTATTTAACGCATCCTTAACTGTACTTTACACTTTAGTGTCATCGGGATACATTGAGCACACGCTTGACAATACTTCTGGTAGATCGCTTATAAAAGCGACAAACAAAACAGGCCCAAGAACGCTTTCGTGCAGTACGCCACTGCGCGCAGACGCCCAGTCTGAAACGGTTCCGTTAATGCTGACTCGTTGTCTTCTGCCTACAAGGATATCCTTTATCCATTGAAGTACATTTCCCTCTATTCACAATGAATTCACTTTACGTAATAGTCGCTAATGAGGAACACTATCAAATGCCTTGGCAAAATCGAGGTACACTGCATCCACTGGCGCCTGTTGGTCCAGCAGGCGAGTCCAATTATTCAAGGTAGACAAGAGATTAGTGGTGCATGATCTGCCAGCAATAAAGCCTCGCACAGACTCCATGAACAATGATGAAGGCTGTTTCCCATCCCTTAGAGAGGATTCATCTGCCCAGTCTATTTCTGGATGGGGAAAGTCACCAACGATCAACGTATGTGACCTGCTGAAAGTCATGCTCGGTAGAAGACTGTTCAGCACTTTATCGTTACCAGGGGAACTGTTAGATGATCTATACAGGACGCCTATAAGGAGGCTATATCTTCTCTTTAGTGTGGCTCACACCACACTGATTCTCTAGCTGATTGGTGCTCTGCTGATAATTTAACTTGCTGGGCCCTATAAAAAGTTGTAACCCACAGAGCTACATCTCTTCTGCACTGCTCTTCGTTTAAGTTATGAAAACAATTAAAACCTAGCAACTGAAATTGAATAGGTACAATTTTCTCCCGTGATTTTTAGGGAGTGCCTCTGTGATACAAATAATGTCTATACAGTCGTTTGCGATCACAGTAAACAGTTCATTTCTTTTGTTCAAAACAGAATCAGATTTCGTGTAGAAACATTACAAAACTTTTTGTGCGAGCGGTTGTCGGCAAAAAACCCGTTCGCTTTCGGCGAACGGTTGGAGTCCTCGTGAGATCTTGAATGTAGTTGACATGATTTTCCGCGTTTTTGCGTCTGTTTCGCTTCTTCCATTTCTTTCGGAAATCCGCCCTCTCTAGAGGGGTGGAATCCTTCTTCACAAAAACGGACTTGAATTCAACGGTCGCTCTCAATTTTTTCGCTGCTTTCAGCACGCTCCAACATGGGCCTTCTCCTTCACAGTCACCAACAGAGGTCTGCAGGTGTTAGCAGCAGTATTCTTGGAGCGCAGCCTTTTGCCCGATGCAATATCAACCGATGTGCTTAGTGCTTTACTACAACAATCCGCAACATACTTGCTGTCGGCCATCACTCGTTCGTTCGTTTCAGATGATGTGCTTTGGGGAATGCCGATTCATATAAGGTTGCACTTCCTACGGTCTTTGTCTAGTAATTCGCGGGAGCTCTCGCTAGCGACTTCGGCTATGACAACGTTGTAATTCTTCAATTCCATATTTTCTGTGTATTTCCGTTGAGCTCTCTCTTCGATCAGCTCTTTTCGCAACGAGCTCAGTTCATTAGTCAAAAAGCCAACTACATTGCTCAACGTGCTCATCTCTTTCCGAAAATTGTTCTCCATTTCAGCTCGAAATGCTGCGAAAAGAGCGAACCATTTCTCACCCATCGGCTTCTCGCTTTTTCGGACACTGAGTCGATTTCTCGCAGTCACTACAGAACCAGTGAAACGACTCTGTTTTTTGTAGGAAAAAATACTCTTCAGAGCTCAGCTCCGCGCAACTGATGCAAATGAAATCTTTGCAGTGTTCACAGAAGACCATCTGATCATCTTCTTTCAACAAGGCCTCTTTGCAGAACTTGCAAACATTTTCAACTACGCATTTCGATCCTCTGTTCGATTTGTTTGGTGCATCTTGTTTCGAAGAACCGCAGTCCTTCTTAACAATCTTGTTAACTTTCTTTCCAGCCATAGAAAAATCTTCTTTCTCAATTGTTTAATGATTTCCGGGTTCCTTCACTGAGATTTAGCTAGAGTCTCTCACTGCAAAAAATCGCCGGAAACAATGAATCCCCAGAAGCAAGCCTGTACAACACAGCCGCCCGACGGTAATATAGTTCCGGAAGCACTTCAACGCAGGAAACAAATCGGTCAGGCTCCTGGAGCGACATTACAGCATGTCTACTCTCCACCGCGTCTCAATCTGAATTATTACAGGCTATCAAGGTAAAAAATTAGGTTGGAGATTACATTGAAAAATAACGATAGCCTATTCTAATTTCTTACATTCCAATAATTGAAATAAAAGTTTTATAAATTAACTTACTGGTAAAATACAGGTATTTGACCTGCTCCATTCAAAAAGCCATCTTTTACCAAGGCATCTTCTGTGTGTGGACGCGCCACTCTTTGATTAATTGGAGACAAATGAATGAGGCTTTGGAAAGAAAACCGCTTGAGTTCGCCGTTCCAGCTGACTGTAGGTGAAATAATATTCAGGATTATTTGCAGAACTATAAAGTAACACAAACATGATCGTTATATTGGTGGAATATATTGAAAATTTATCACGGCAGCACAACAAGCCAACGTTAACAGAGACGCGCAGGGAGAAATAACCATCAAAAATGGATTTCAAGGGAGCAGAAACTTCAATTAAAATCAATATATTCGGGCAACTATGTGCAGTCTAATGGGTCATACTGAAGGAAGTAACGAAAAAAATTATTGTGGATGATTGCGCGTCATGAAAAGTATTTCGTTGAGCAGCATAAAATGTCAAGTGGCAAAAAAAATATAAAGGTAGTAGCATTTCGCGAGATTTTAACTGGCATATACTCCACTTGCATATACTCCAACTGGCATATACACATAGATGTACAAGAGACACTATGACTCGCGATGCGTTATCAGTATCGCACAGAAACGATATATTCAGTATCAAAAACACATGCAGGGTGAAAATTGGTTTTAAAAATTAATCAATGGTTAAATCCAGGCCTGCGTCTTCCTTTCAAACAAATGTCATCCTTTTTCGCAATTTTCCTTTGTGTCGCTGTGTTACAATTGCTGGTTTCATCAAATGGTTTTCGTGTCCGCTGTTCTAGCGTTAGAAATAGACATGAAATTTTCAAGTATCCTTGTGATAATTCGCGGCAATTTCAAAAATGCAGCCAAGCATTATATGTAAGTGGTATATGCACTTTAGTTATCCAACCATACGTCGTATTTTATTCGCGAATTTATTAGACGAATCTATGCCATTTTCGCGTGAAATCAGATCCGAGGTGAATGAGCATTTCTACGTGTGGTGCGTGTGTTGCCATTAACTTCCTTGACCAAATAATAATAAATAATCTAATAAATAATAAGTAACATAATAAATCTAATAATAATAAATAATCTGTGCGCTCATTGCACCAGTTTATCTCATGCATGTGCAGTGATTTTTGTTCCGTTCAGTGAAATATTGTTGGAAATGTTAGATATTCATACCGAAATGCATCGTATATTTTCATACTAGCCTATGATACTGACACAAACAATGAACTATAATAAGGCATACATCATATCTTGTATCAGTGATGCAATCATATGATTTGAATTCAACAAATATATATGTGTGTAGGGATCGAAACGTTCTGGCTGGGCTAACTTCTAACGGGAAAAAAATTAAAAGTATAATTTATTATTTATTTTAGATAGTTCAGTGAATTTACCTGGCAATTTGATGTAGCGTATTTCGACGGAAAGAAATGCTGAAACGATGAGAAACGTCATAAAAATGGCAAATTTCCCTCGTCGGTGAATCAACATACCTGTTCATAGGGGATGTTGTTTACTTGTGTAAAAAAATTATGAAATGCTTATTCAATCTTGAATTCAATGGCATACCAATTTAAACGGTGGTATACCAATGCTGTGAAGATTATTATTTCACTTCTAAAGCTGAAAGTCGGCAAATTCTTCTCAATAAGTTCTATTTTAAAATAATTTATTTCGTATTAATAATAAAACTTAATAATAAGCAGGTAGACGACCGTCGGCCGATTGGAGAGCAGATATTTCCTAAGATATTTTTCTTCATTACGCCACTGGATACAAAAAGACATAATGGAAAAAGACGTTTAAAATGACCAGAATTGTAAAATGAGCCCGACAATTCTTTCGTATATGAGTTACGGTGTGGTGTCTTAGACCAACCATATGCTCATTCTTCGCTGGCTTGCAGTCGCTACTTCGGAGGTCGTAGCAAAAAGCCTTAAATTTAGGTCTTAATTAAGTCCTGGAGCCAACGCCAAGCCTCATCATGTAATAACTCTACTCGCCACAGAACTAGAATCCACAGACTACGCTGGAACTCTAATTCACATCAGTGAAAAAACTGATCAAACACTGGGATCGAGATGAATGAATAAATTCACAATATTTTACCATCAATAGGACATCAATCAAACATAGAAGCAATATGTTTAATCAACATAGTTCAAGATCACATTCAATAAAACGAATTCGCGCGTAGTAAAATTTTTCAAGCATAGAATGTCATATAAAATTCGTTCGTGGCACTACAGTTCATTAGCGCCATACACATGTCAATCGACTGGCGTAGATGGGAAAAGTAGATACGTCCTGAAACCGAATTATTTCATACAAAATTCTCAGACAAATAAGGGAGAACTTCGACTACAATTTACTTATTTAATTTACTTGCAAGATCAATTGATTGGGATTAACCAAAAGGACGCTTTAATGCTTGTAAGGTGTCGGCGGAACATCGGGAGATGAAATGACCACGGCAGCTAACTGTAGAGGAAGAAAACCGCGGATATTATTTTTTAAGAACGATTCTCTAATACAGTCGCTATTTTTTCAGGTAATTATAATCAAGGATGAGCGGCATTTTGATCCTCATAGTTGGCAAACGCCAGAAATATCTCGAGTCTCCTCAGGCTCTCTGTCATGGAAAATAAGTTGGCTAGGCCGAGCAAATTACTGCGTTGGACATGACTAACTGGGTAAGTTACTTACAATCTTAACTTCAGATTGTAAAGATGATAGCCTATAGGAAGTTACGACGTGAATTCGGTGAAATTTCGGCCGAGGAAAACTTTTTACTGATGCTCGAGCTTCGAATAATCACGAACGGATAATAATAAATACACATAATAATAAATACACATCATATATATTCTGGAATTATAAGGCAAGTTGTGCACTTAATGATCTAAACAAATTATTTTATTGATCAACCGTTTTTCCGGCAAAACTCCTTAATTAAGTAATTGTTTACTATTTTGATTGTTTCCGTTGATCAACGGCTATCGACACTTTCATGCTGAATTGTTTTTTGCATTTTTCAAACATACATTTATTGGCAAAATAATGGTCATGGACTTTATTCGCGAGAGTATATCCACTAAAATCGTGAGCAAAAAATGAAATAATTTGAGAACTAGGAAATAATTTGGTGTTTTTCCTGTCGAATTTTCGAAAACTGTATCCTCTTTGATTCTTTAGCTGCCTAAAAAAATTGAGAAACTGTTTTTACTAACCACTTAATACGTTTTGCGACAATTTCTACAATATGAGAAAAATTGATAAATTTGTGATATTCACCTCTGCTAACGTAGTTATATTACAGCCTCGAAATTTTATTCAAGTGCACCAACTTTAAGTTTACTCGAACCACGGATAATTTACTAGAATTAATAACAAGATTTAAGTTCTGTATATCTCTACCGACGTCACATATTTTCGGCCAGAAGTTGCTCTGACTTTCAACTCTACGTATGTAGTCGCTGCACATTATGTGGTGCGTTTTTCCAACTTTTCTGAGTTTGGTTTCACAAAAGTGCGGAAATGTTTTGACACAACATAAAAATTATGTGCAGTAAATTTTAGACATCATTGTTTTGTTTAGATAAATATTACCTAATTGGTAATTACCAGACTTGAATATTGTCCAAACTTGCGATACATTGAGCTGGTTCCAAGCTCTATATGTGAAAATTGTTCATTGTTATTTCCCATGCTTCGGCCCTGCATCTGAAACTAAGTATGTCAAAATAGTTTAAAAATTTTGTTCATCAATTACTTATCAAATAATATTCATTTTGTTTTTTGCTGTATAATTCCTTTCGATTCTTTTTTTTAGGTGCAAAAATATTCTTTCTTTGATATGCGCTCGTTTCTAGTTTGCAATACCATTGTGCGCGAATCTGCGCACGCTGGTATTAATCGTAATCTTAATTCTAAAATTTCAGATCATAAGGAGAGGAGTTGTAAGAGTGGACATTTATTAGCGCCCTCCCCTCATTCAGCTCATCCATCAGGTTGATAGGAGTTGCTGTTGCGGTGCCACTAGGAAAGAGTGGAAAAGAGCAAGAGGTGGCACAAAGTGGCCATGAAAGAAGAAGGAGAAATGGAAAAGACAGTAGGAGATGAAAAGGCGCAATAGCGCATATATAATTGGGTTGGGTATAGGGTGTTGAAGGTGTTTGGGGCTGTGGAAAGAAGGATGGAAACCCGTCGGGGCTTTGAATGCATTAGAAAAGTGGGTGATGGGAGGTTTGTGGTACTCTATTTACATATATACATGCGTTCTCGCTTTTTATATTTATATTTTTTTGTATTTTTCTTAATGCATATGATGAATAAGGGGGATGATGATAATGGTGATTGATGATAATGAAGATGAAGGCGATAGGTAAGTTAACGCGAATAAAGCAAAAGATGTTCAACTACAGTAATATTTTAATCTTGAATGTTGAAATGCAACCAGACCAATATATCATTCGACAGCGCAAGTTCGTTGTATATTATTATCTGAATGGTGGATAGTCAGCCTCCGATTTTAGGCCTGTAAATCCATGTTGGGATTAGAGGAAGAAGTTTCAAGTATTATAGAAGTTTCAAGTTTTAAGAATTATTAGGTATAGAGGAATTGATTTTTTATAAAGTTTGAATTTTTAGGTATAGAGGATAGAGGAAAACTATGCAATTCTTGATAGCTGTTTGTTTTTTTAAGCCTGAAGTTTCAATGCGGAAGAGCGATATTACACAAAAACTTCTTTATGTGGCTCATTTGGTTTTTTCATTGCGCAAACGTGGACAGGACGATAATCTGGTTTTCCTCGAGCCTTGTTACAGTGGAGTCATACTGAGTTGGTCGGACGTGGACGATGATCTACGAGTCGTCCGTGAAAGAGTGTAGTTTCATGATAATTATACATACCGATATAAATTGTGTAATAAATATGTGCATAGAAGAATGAATATGTGACTAATTCCGCTGTAAAGGAAAAAAGTGTTGAAATCAGATAGAGATGGAGAAATATAGTTTTCATAATTTTGGTAGGGAGGCGGCCATGGATTAGACTGGGATCGACTAGAGGAGTAAGAATATGTTAAAATAATTTCATCAGGCGCTGTAAACTGGACCAGGATATTGCAGAGATTCTGAAAAGAAGGTCTAATTCTCCGTCGTATACTTTCGTGTCGTAACGTCAAAACGCCTAGATGTCTCAAAATCGCAAATTTGAGTTACCTGAACGTTTTCAAATTACCTGGGTGTTTCGGTTTGGGCACGATCGCTCGGGGAGGGAGCGCAGCCGTGCACCACCAATTTTGTGCACCAATAAAAATTAAGCCCTGAATCGAACGCCTTGGATCTCTCCGGACCTACACCAATCAGCCGTGCACCACTCGGCTTTGTCCTCTTCCGGCCTTGACCATCACCTGCCGAGCACCACCAGGCCGCGGATCGAATTTGACTTCCGGGCATCGTTAAATTACGTAATTTTACGTTCACCGCATCTGAGGTTAGGTTTCAGATAGCATAATTCTGTTAATAAATTTATCGTCCTTCCACGAGTGGCCGTTCGACCGAGGGCTGGTTCGACCCACGGCCTAGCTACGGACGGCTTGAAGTGTTGAAGGCTACGTTCCGGAAGGCAGGAATCATGATGGTCCATTACATCCAGGGCAGTGGTGGTCTTCGGCAGGCGACCCCTCGGGGAGGCTTTGAAACATCCAAGTGTTTTAAAAACACTTGGGAGCAGCAGGTAACACTGCACACTGATTTTCTCTCAGTGTGCAAGCAACTCTAGCGACGAGCCGCTTTGCTCTGTTCCAATTGCTCGTTCGTCTGACTATATCATGGACAAAGAATTCTCGCTGAGAGGATGTTTTCAAGCAGGAAACTAATCCGTCCGTCTCAGACACTTCCTCAGGGTGTCCAGATTCGACATAAAATCTAGTTAATTAATTTCCGGATTGTACAGAAATTCAGGGCCGCTAAACCAAACCGTGTTTGTACAGGTAACCAGACAGCGCACCGCTGGCAGTGAAACACAGTATAATGCAGAACATATACTGACAAGCGAGAACGAGGTTCAGCAGTCTGCGTATGACGAGTATAAAAAGCATACTGACAACGATGTAAGGCACATCGCATATCAGCTATTATTCGCTCTATTACGGTTCCATAGAAAGTTGTACATCTTAACTCCACACAGTTTTTGCAAGCGAATCTGGATCGTGCGGTCTTGACGTAATATCCGCTGGGTTTTCATTGGTGGATATGAAGTGCCACTGATGCTTTTTCGAAATTTTCAGTATTGCACTGATGCGTCGAGGCACGTATCGCGAAAATCGCTTCGTTTCATTTGTCAGATAGCCAAGTACGACCATACTGACGCGGTGAAAGTGTACCTGGGCGATCTTTGATTGCATACCTAATACGGTCTCCTCGGCGGCTCGTGCGGCCTCCACCGCCGCCCAGAGTTCCAGGCGTGGAATTGAAGTAGCTCCACGGGGCGCGACCTTGGAGTTGTCCATAACTAGACTGACGCAAATCTCACCCACGCTGCTCTGGGAGCGCAGGTAAATCGCGTAGCCGATTGCTTCTTCAGATGCGTCACAAAACACGTGAAGTTGCCTGTCAGTGGAACGAAAACCTGCGGGCGTATGTCAGGAATATGATCATTTGATATCACATTTACTAATAAATAGGATGTGGATTCTCCTACACGTTTCACTAAAAATCCCTTGGTAATCATTCCCGTTACATAAGAACAGACACCGCTCATTGTAGATAATTGATATTCTTGCTCTGGGCAAGATAAATCAAAGTATTCAAATAAGCTAGAGTGAGCGAATGAAGAGTTAGATTGCTCGTCTAATATGACATAACATCGCAATGTATTAAGAGGCACATTTGAATGCGTTAAGTCCACTAAGAGAGTTTTAAAACAACTTTTCACGACACTAGAAGTACCGTAGATAGTGGCACAAAGAGACTGTGTTTTCGGAACTACGGGGTCTATTTTGCGCGTAGCGTTTTCAACCGCACTACCTGATGGGCGGGAGGCGGAATTCCGATGCATTGACGTACAGTGCATGATTTCCTTTACATATCTTACATTCAACTGAATCTTTACATTTTGTAAGCAAGTGGTCGCCAGTCAGACACCTGAAACGAAGGTTTTCGCTATTGACTAATTCTTCCTTTTTTGAAAAGGAAGTTTAGTGAAAGATTTACAATTACAGAGATCGTGACTATTGTTTGTATGAAAAACGCACTAGCGCCTATCGGGAGTAGCAACTGAAGCAAGCATCCTGGTTTTCTTACCGTCAGCAGAAAAGATCGGCTTATTGTGCAAATAATGCGGATTGCTGACTTCGTCTGACATTCTTTGCTGGAAAGTCAACAAAAACGTGAAATGCAGGACGAAGGACATTATTCATTAGCTCGAAATTATGACCGAAAGTGCGCCACTTGTTTTGCAGATGTTCGGGCAGCTTGCAAAGAATCTTCCGAAGACCCCCGGCCATATTCAAATACTGCAGCTCGTGCGCCGACTCCATGTTGCACTGTAAAATGCCGCAGAAGTCTGAGAGTTCTTGCAGCTTCTCACTGTCGTGGGTGCTTCTCACCACTGGAATTTTATCGATTCTCTTCAACAAACTGTTGGCCACTTGGACACTGGAACCAAACCTCTTATGGAGAGCGTCCCATATCTTCTGCTGAGTGTATGCAGGGTCGGCTCCGCCGGCCGAAAGAAAATCTCTGACCAACCTATTTGGCTTGCCAACAGCGTTTGCTTCGAGTATGTGAATAAAATCGATAGGCTTAAGATTAAGGCCCCTTATTCTACTATCGATCGAGCTTTTCCACGTGAAAAACCGCTAAGCCTGGCCGTCAAATGGCTGTGTTGACTTTCCAACATTTTCTGAGTAAGAATGAATTGCACCGATAAATCTAAGGTACCAGTACCAGAGTCGCGTATATGGCTCAACATGCACGGTAGTCGTAGCAGAAGGAAACCTTAGATTTAAATTCATACAGTGAATAAATAACGCCGTTTATTCTTGCTTCCCGCAGCTGGAGCTCAGAATATAATATACCAAGTAGCGAATATTGAAAACAATTTAAGTTAGCAATGTGAACGTACCTGTAAGAAAATGAGGGTGCATCATACATATTTTTTTCTCTCCGTTACGTTGAAACATTTCGTTTGCCAGTCGCTTACGGTGAGTAGAACAACGATGATGAGCCACAAACCATCGTTTATAGAGAAAGATGAAGATAATGTGATAGAACAACAGACTTATGCAGATAAATATGATCTTAATAGTAATAACGCATTCAATTTAATAAGAAGTATCAACAACAACAACCACTTCAAAATAAAAAACAGAAGTTACCTCGACAACATATATAACCATCTAAATAACAATATAAATAAAAACATAAGGAACACATTCCTACACATGCCCAAGATGAGTGTCTTGCCGGACCACTGGCGTAAACTGTACGGTGAGATGTCATATATAATCTGTTATATATTTAAAGTATTTTGATTATTTGTGTAATTATATTGTAACACACATGAGCAATGCAAGCTCGTTTCTTAAATACAAACTGTGTCGGGATATTACCGATACCTGATATTTTTTAAATTTCCCTCGGAATCTTGAGGCTTGTAAAGACTTGCTTGCATTGAGGAATACAAACTCGCTTCTAAAACTACGACTGAATAAAGAATACAAATGAGCAGCCCCTGATTTTTTTACTCTATGATTAAATTTATATTAAAAGTTAATTTTCCATTGGCATTGATTAGCAAGTAGAATTATCATGCTAGCTGAGATGATTAATACATAGAGGGAACCTTAAATCTCAAATATTTTCTATCCCAAGAAACGCAGATATCGATTGGTGAAATATGGTACTGACTGAAAAAAATTTAAAATGTACGTTTCCAAACATAAAATATTAACATGAAAACATTTATTTTCAGTCCCTAAACAGATTTAAAATTACATAAATCTGTATTTGTCCAGCATAACTACCAATTGGGTGGCATTCTCATAGAAAAAAAAATTAAAAACCATTTTTAAAAACCACGTTTTTCTGCTTTTTACAAAAATATAAATAATTAAATCAAACAAAAAAAAACTTTTAAACCACGTTTTCTTAACGGACAAACAAGAAAAAACATTTACTCCTACATAACATTACATAACATTTTACATAACTTTAATGTTATGTAGGAGTAAATGTTTTTCTTTTTTGTCCGTTAAGAAAACGTGGTTTTCAAAAGTTTTTTTTATTTGTTTTATTTCATTAGTTTAAATTTCGTAAAATCCAGATAAACGTGGTTTTTAAAAATGTTTTTTTATATATATATATTTATTTGCTACTTTTTAGTTGAGCAATTTTAGCAATTCAAATAAATTTCCAGGGTTGGCAAGTCTGGATATTCGATAAAATAGCCCTACTCCCAAACGTGAATTTTAAATTTTTTTTTATTATTAGTTATGATGATAAAATCTTGAATTGTTAGGCAGCATAAGCATGATTGCCAAATTTCAAGTTTCTTGGATGTTCAGAGGAGCTCTAAATTAAGGTGTGAATTTTTGACAACAAACAACATCCGTCAAAATTACATAGATAATCAAAACTATAGATTTTATTTTCCCCACCACGTCGTTGTCTTATTTATTAGTTTATTTTAAGGGAAAATTAATTATTGATAATAATTTGCGTTAATTCCAGAGGACCGCTCCCTGAGACCTCTGGAGCCAACGGAAGAAGAAAGTTTGCTTGGTGAGCGCCGCAGTCTGTAAATAATTTACAAAAAATACTTCGATAATAATAAAATAAAATTTTTCTTCATATATCTAAATCTAAGAGGTTTAATAAGTTGAACCGTTACACGGATTTCTCGTGAATAATTAATCGGATTGGCTGAATGCAAGATCAACGTTTTAACCGCTCACGAACGGAACTGTAATCAAGCCAGTCATTAGTTCAACTATAGTTTTTGAGCAATTAGGATCAGACGCAATGAAAATAACTATATTTAATACATTTTTCATGCAAGTAAGTGGTTAAAATTATTTTGAAAATTTTCAAAACTCGCATTAGTCTCTAGTAATTAGTAGAGCTCTTCTTGAAAAATTTCTTGCCGGGTTTGAGAAAGTAATCAGTCAAAGAAAGGTTTATTAAATGCAACAACATGCGAGGTCGCATTGAAATTATGATGAACGTCATCATAGTTCAGTCTGCCTTCCCGAATGTGGCGCAGGTGGAGACTCCTGCATGCACTGTAGGCGAGCTGAGTTTCGGTGCTCCCGTAGGTTCCCAGTCAAGCTTCAAGAGACCACAGTACCTAAAATTAGTGACAAATTTGAGCAGGAGACGCTAGTAAAATTCTATAATTAAGATCGAATGGTTATCGCTAAAATAAAGCTAACAATTATAAATCTAACTAATAAGCAACTGTCGTAATCATACCCAAGAAATCAGTCTCACGAGCTCCAAAATTGAATATACAGATTTTAATGAAAAAAAGATTCCGTAATCTAGATCAAAAATTAGTCACAACTCGAGAATACTTTTCTGGCTGACGGAATTTATAGCGTATGGAAATGCTAGGAAGACAATGCATCCTAGTCGCCAAGCCACCCACCATAGCCACGTCTGTAGTCCACACATTGCTCAGATGAATGGGCGAGACCAGCGGTCGAGATCTCCAGCAGCAGAGTGGAGGAGCGCGGGAGGGAAGGGTTTGTGGAGAGGCGTAGAAGTTGAGTCAAGTGGCGTACAAAGTAGACATACAAAGTAGAGTCAAATGCCGCCACGGCGTAAAAAATAGAGACAAGTGGCGTACAAAGTAGACATACAAAGTAGAGTCAAATGCCGCCACGGCGTACAAAATAGTCAAGNAACTGCTTGGACAAACCCTGACCAACCTGCAGCCCGGGGCTCTGGTCGTCTTGGTCATGATGGTGAGTGTGTTGGTCAGCTCGCAGTGACTCAACTGCTTGGACAAACCTGCAGCCCGGGGCTCTGGTCGTCTTGGTCATGATGGTTAGTGTTTTGGCACATTATAAAGGAATGATCAATTCGGTCACACGCTCAAACTTAGTCTGCCTGAGGCCTGCCTTCTTTAGTCATGATGGTGAAGCAAGTTATGTATTTTTCAGGTAGAATTTTCGTGCCTATTGATATTACTAACGGGAACTGGACAATCGTTTTGTAATTAATGTTTTGCTTTATTCAGTTTACTGCCTGGGACTTCCTGAGGAGCACAGAGCGCATGCTGCTGCAGCACCTGGGGATGAAGGGCGACACCGTGGGAGGAGCCCATAAGTTAGGTGAACTTGTTTTTCCAGCGCATAAATTAACTGCGCCATGCATATTGAATAAATTCCTTAGCGTACATGGTGCCGTAATGTCAAAATTAGTTACAGTTAGTAACACCGTCAGCCAGCTACTGACGGTTTTCCAAGATACACCCACCAATCACATACGAGAAATCAGCCTCTATGTGTACATAAGCGAGTTTTGATAGCACGGCCCATGGAATAAAGTTTCCCCACAGTAAAATCGTCGCTGGCTCGTTATACCTCTTAGCGCAGGGAATAGGCTCGTCTACATACCTCATACCATTTCAAGTATTCATCCAGACGCTGGCGTGGCGCAGGGTAGAGGCTCGTCTCCATACCTCATCGACAACGCACAACTGAGGCAACGAGCTGGAGCTGGGTACACAAAGAGCTCAAAAAAACCGTACGAAGCACTGGAGCTCACATCGGATGAGAGAGAAGGGAAGAAAAGGCTGCAAAATGGCGAAAATATATTTTTGGGATACACTGGATACGTTGACACTGACGACCCGTCTATACTCATCAGTGTTGTTCCCGAAAACTGGCCACCACAAAATGCTGAGGTGCTTTAATTTATAACAAATAGTTATTTGTAGCATACAATCAAAACTATTTGGGAGGAGAATCACTCCAGTAAATTAAATAAACTCGCGTACAAACTTGTTGCAAATATAACAAATCCACTCAGCTGAATAATATTGCACAGGGAAGTTTATGCTTTTCATCACCTGAAACTTTGCCGTTGGTACTAGGTCCCAGCAAGGTTTTCATAATGATTCTAGTGTTAAATTTCATAGTCTTGAGCAGGAGGAGTTTGCGGCGCGTGTCTATCTGGAAACGGCAGTGGTCTTCAAAGGTTCCAAGAACCAACAATCTAGCATTGATGTTTCAGTGCTCATACCAAAGGGCCAAGGTGAGTATCTATTGTGGTTAATTATCCAATATAGATTTTCACTTACAAGAATGATGAGTAACCCTTACATTAACATACTCATCGATGATTACCTACAGAACGTGATCTGCAGTGAATAACTTATACAGGAACAGAATGTGACTGGCACCGGGACCCCCGGCGACAGAAGCAGGCGCAATTTTGTCGCCGCCACGAAGGGTACGGGACTTTGTGCCGCTGTAAGGACCCTTTGGACCCCCAGCGATTGCGGCGGTCATCGGTGATTTTTGCCTTAAGATAAACGTGTCATGCTAAACTTTCCTCGTTACTTCACAAAATGACCATACCGCACTGAACTTCGTAATAAATTAAGAAATACTTTATCAATCGAATAATCGCCATTAGGTGTCAAGATGTCTAGAATATATCATGCAATTTAAAATAAAAACAATTAGCTGAATTACAGTTTGCAAATTGTGTCGCATTGATGCTAACGAGGACCTTGTCTTCAAAAGAACTTCATCCACATGTCGGAGAGCATCCCTATCGCGATGCTCACCGCCACCAAGTGTCACTTTTTTTACCGGTAAGTCCCGTACAAAAAGAAACAGTTCAGGAAATCCTTAATTTTTGATCTGACAGAATCGGAGCTTTTCCGACACCAATGGCAGCTCGTCCTCTGTATTCAATTGAAAAACTATTGACGTTAAACGCGATCTTCAAGATTGTATGAGCTTGATTGCGATAAATGAAAACAAATAATTATACTTTAGTCCTGATCACTTAACTAATGTATAGGCAGCTGATGAGTCTCCTACTGGCTACGGGTGCGGCTCAAACCGATATTTTGGTCCTTATCGACGGTCATCAGGAAGAGACTGCGCAGCTGGCCGCAATCTTTGGGTCAGAAGCTCAATAAAATTCATAAAAATTCAAAATTCATAAAATGAATATAAATAAATTAATAAATTTACATAAAATTAAATTTAATGTAAATAATTAATAAATAAATAAATTTTAAATTAATGAAATAATAATAAATCTATCGCCACTACTATTTCTTTCCAAATTAGTTTTCATTTGCCTGATACTTTCTCTGTACTTATGCGAGGATTAACAAAGCTATGATATGGTCAAATTCTTCTCTCACCAATTGCATTTAAATTCTCAGCTTGCCGGTAATCGAGCACCGCCACGAGGGAGACGCCGGCACCAGCACGCCCCTCAACGCGCACTTCAGATTTTCTTTGTTCACGGCCTTCTCGACCTTCCGCAACGCTTCTAAAGTCATCATCTTGGAGGACGATCTCATCGTCTCGCCTGACTTCATAAGGTTAGTTCATAATAGCATACATACATGTTATTGATAATGAAATGTTATAAATCATTTTGCCATCGCGGACAAATCTTGATTCCTTTGTACATGAAATTTCAAGGTGTGTGTGAACAAAAAGCGCCTATTGCATCTCTATTCGTTTATTTATTTCTTGTAGAAATATTATGCTTTAAAAATTTTGAACTCAAAAGACTGGCGAACTTTTTTCATTAAAACTGTCGTATGCGCGACCCTTGTTTCCGGACAAAGTGGCTACAATATCTTTATGGTAAACGTAATATTACTCTATTCTCTATCATGATACATTATTTCTTAGGTATATTAGAAATGACAACTTATTTTGAAATTTATAGAGACTAATATTGCACTGAACGATGTTTCGTTTATTTCCCATATATTGGGCGCAGCCGTTGGCCGCACAGTACACTAAAACTAGCCCTGGAGCTAACGCTCAGCCTAAACACACAGAGCTTAGGAGCTACGAAAACGTAGATCAAGCTCTATAGAAACACCGAAAGCCAAATGTATATCCGAATATTTAAGGGGACCGACTACCCTAAAATTTTCAATTTTGGCGCTTTCCGTTTTTTTGCTCATCTTAAAGCTTAGTTTTTGACGCATCCAACCGTACCAGAATCATCCCTCTACGTCGAAAAATGATTTCGTAACAGCCCCCCGAAGGGAGGGAGTTTTTAGAGCCCTTCAGTAAAGCCTATGGGATTAATTAGAAGGGTGGACACACTAAAAAGGAACGTCTGACGTAAAGCGGCCAATCATGGCATTATTCGGTGCTCATACTCATCTTAAAGCTTACTTTCAGACAATTCCATTGGTGGCAGAATCATCTTTCTACCTCCATTTTTACGTTTGCCACGCCCCATGGAACGGCATTAATTACGGGGCGTGACTTGATATACTGCCACGTGCAGCCAGGTCTTTCAGTGCCCATCATGACAGCGAGGTGAAAGGTGTGCAGCCACTCGCTCTATGCCTTCCTCACTTAGTTTTAATGCTTGGTTGCGGTATGTTGGCTACGTTACGACTCTTTTACGTCATTTTACGTGCCGCCCGGTTGTTTTTGGGGCGTCCTGAAAACCTCCGATTGGTCGCACGGCAAACCTATCTCCTCCTACAGTTTTCAAGCTACAGCAATGAGACATATACCATTCGATTCGTAAAGACCATACCTATAGAACTAATGATCATTTTTTTGAATTTCTGTCTGGTTCGTTTTTTATATGGGGGAGAAGGGGGGAGGGGGGGGGAAAAATGAGAAAAAATGAGAAAAATGGGATAAAACGCGCATGAAAAAAAACCAAGGGGAAAATGAGAAAAATGATCATCAAATCTATAGGTATGGTCCTTACGAACCGAATGATATGTGTCTCGATGTTGTAGGATGATATTTGTAGGAGGAGATAGATTTTCTAAAGTGCCCCTTTTTAGCCGTTTTCTATGAATTTCACGTTTTCTATCAATTTTTTCGAAAAATTCATTAAGCAAAATGTTATTTTTTTCACATTTTACGTATGTATGTGAAGTTTCATGATGATCGGATAATAACTGTAGAAGTTTTTCCGGAGGGTAGTTGGTCCCCTTAAAAGGTAAATCGCCGCAAACCACAGTCGCTGCTCAAGCCAGTCATGTCTTCTACGATGTGATAACCCAGCATGGCCCTACCTTCCCACTCACCTAACTCTGGCTCCACCTTCTTGCAGCCAATAACCCGCTCCACATCGTTACTTTCTCCTCTTCTCCAGCTTACAGCAGCCGATAAGGCTAGGTTAGGTCCGGTTAGATTTGTTTAGGTAGTGCCATGATTCATCCCTGAATCATGGAAGCCAGTCTTCACATCCCTGGAGGCTGGCTTGTGTACCTAGTGCCTGTGAACTCAGTACTCAGGCTCGGCCACGGATAGGAACTTGTACTGTAGTCTGAAGCTTGGACTAGCTGGCTTTTAACACACACACACACCCCTACAGAAACTTTGCACTTCGACGTGGCGTCAGCGTCCATCATGATACGTGGCTGCTGGACGCTGACGCCACACACTACATTACTTTCATATACAGATAATTCCACTAGACGGCGTGGCTGCTGGACGCCGACGCCACACACTACGTTATTTTACTTTCATTTGCAGCTACTTCCACCAGACGGCGTGGCTGCTGGCGCTGACGCCACAATCTACCTTATTTTACTTTCATTTGCAGCTACTTCCACCAGACGGCGTGGCTGCCGGCGCTGACGCCACAATCTACCTTATTTTACTTTTATTTGCAGCTACTTCCACCAGACGGCGTGGCTGCTGGACGCTGACGCCACACTCTACGTCGTGAACAGCTTCTCCCTCAACAGCTGCCCCACGGTGGCCGCTGACGCCACGCGGGTCAGGCGCTCACAAATGTTCCCCCAGTTCGGCTGGATGGTCACAAGGGAATACGCTCAAGAAATCCTTCGTTTTTGGGTCGACAACTCGGTGAGTGCGACAGCACCGAGTTTGGGCTTCATGCGGCCATAACTGCTTAAGATTTCTTGGGTAAAATAATTTGCCAGCCCCTAGGTTACAAGGAGATGATATTTGCGAGATTTCACAACAAAGATATGAAAAAATCCAAAATTATATGAAATACGCAGGTTATTGACATTATTAAATAAAGAATAACGAGCGAACCATGAGCAAGAAAAAAGGTTGATGAAAGGTTTGCAGGGGCAGTGAATGTCGGATAATGAGTGATGTTTTTTAAAACCTGCTGTAAACCTAACTTTTTATCCAAAGGAGTTAATTCTGGTGCTTGATGCACCAGAACAGAGTTGGGTTCTGCAGAGATGTATTCTGCACAAAGCAATTATAATGCAATAGTTTTCAGGCGGTGCTACAACGAACGCAAAACTTATAACAATAATCCGGCTTGGTGTGCACACCACGATCCATGCTTCGATGCAAAGAGATTTTGCTTTTGTCGAACGAAATAAAAGTTCTAGATAATTCCTTTCTCAATTTTGTAGCAAATATTCATCCTTCTCAGCACTTGATACTATTCAGAATCGGCCATTGAAAGTTGAAATGAGAGAGGCGTCCTAAACAGAATGAGAAATAAAATGAAAGATACAATTTAAGAAACACGGCGACAACTTCACCTACATTTTCAAACCAAGGTGACTTTTTTGGCTGTTGTTGCTGTTGATCGACTATAACTGGCCCCTGATCTCCCTAGACGTCGTGGGATACCCCGGCATTTTCGACAGGTCCGGTTTCTGGCGGACATTTATGATCGTATCCTACAGAAGGAGCATTTTGATACTTCCCGCACTGGCAACACACGCGTAAAATAAAATTTCAAAAGAAATTCCATCACAAAAAATTATCTCACAGGACACATCTTGGGACTGGGATTGGAGGCTACATATTGCGGCCCTTCGTCGGGGAAGGTATGCACTGGTCCCGGAAGTGTCCCGAAGTTTCCACTCTGGTTCGTCTGGAGCTCACATCAATGGATGGAGCCAAGCCCTCATATTCTCCAACATGATCTACAACCACGACCCAGATGTCAAGCTTAAAAATTTACACCTGTATGTTAGTCTCATTTTACTATTGCTACCTATCTAATAACAACGTGCCACAGGGAGGACATTCGACTTGAATAAGTCCGACAAAATATTTATTTGGAAAATCTTGGCTTGCCATATTTTTGGACACATTTAAAAGAAAAACCTGAATACTGAATCAATAACTAAAAAAAAGGCTGCCACAGATACTCCTGACTGCATGCTTCAAATAAAAATTTCGACTCAATTCAGCTACAAAATACATTCCTTGGTTGTATTATAGGCATGCATCGTTCGCAGACGCGCTCTGTTCAAGGACCCACAATGTTCAGATACATATATGTATACTTGTATAGCTCAGAGACGCATAGAGCTAAGAGATGCACGTATAAGAGACTGACATAGAAGAGACGCCTATAGCTAAGAGACCAATATAGTTCATAGGTCCACTTAGTTTAGAAGCCACAGTGAGATTGAAAAATTTTTTATGATTGAAGGAATTGTACAATAAAGTAACACAGATGTACCTTGTTCTTTAGGCTTCCAATTTGCCTGCAATATTTGAAATAAGCTTGCAGAACTATAATTTAACGCATATTTAATTGAACTACCATATAAGCCTATAAATGTGAATTTTTGCTTCTAAGCCGAAATTACCTTCTAATTTGTGATCGAAATATTCACACTTATTTCAGACTCCAAGCTAACGTCTACGCGGATTATTTTTTGAGTGAACTCAGGAGGGCGAAAGTCCTTTCAATGGTTAATGGCTTTAACCCCTGCCATATGGAAACTATTCCGGAGAACCTGGTGACTGAAACTAAAAAAGATCACTGTGAATGCCTCCACAGCTTCCAATCTTTCATTGACTTACATTATTCGAGATAATTAAATGGATCGATTCCAATCTCTTTTGTTCCAGCAGTTTATACCAGTAAACAGTAGCTAATTTCTTTATAGGAGACTCGTATATAAAAATTTTGAATAATAAAGTGGCATGCTCAGGCATGGTCGGGATTCAAATCCTTTAAATTAAATATACATTAAATTAAATCTATTGATTTTGGTATATCATTTGCACATGATTTTCATAATAGCATTCAAATGACTCAAATGAAAAATGATTTTGCTATGAATAATCATACTATTTAAATATATACCATCTGTGGCTCCTGCATTTGTACCTGTGAGAGATTACATTATGGCTTATACGGAACTTTCTTAGTTTCTTTGAAATATCTCTAATGCTTAATAATTCTGTTAATAATTTTCTTCCTAATCTTGGGTCAAACAAAGAAAAATCGTTTAATAAGGTGAGTCTCCAGTTTGCCACTTTGCTGTAACCTACCCACCAGACGGTTGAAATAACGTTGATTAAACGGGTTTTACCGAATTCAATTCGTAATCAAAGATTTTTCTACATCATTTGCTTGGAGGCAAATGTTTTGTTAAAATCGAGAATTGAAAAGCAAAATAAAGAATGTGACAGAAAATGTATAAAAATCATAAATTCCTGATAAATTAAATTACTTGTAGAACTCGATATCATAATCAATAATTCCTGGTAAATTAGCAATTTAATTACTTAATGAATCTTAGTGTATATTAAACTCTATATAATTTTCATTAATTCGTGGTAAATTAGCAACTGAAGTAATTAAATAATCTTAGTAAATGATAAACTCGACAGTGAATGTTTAACTTCCCCAGCGTCCCGGTCCCGTCATAATTCATCTGGAGGCCAACTCCTACAGCGACCTCAATTCGTCCCTCGTCCTCCTGGCTAAGGTTAGTGATTGAGACAATATTGTCGATAATACAATAATATTATTGGTTGGTAAGATGAAAAATGTAGACAATTGTGACTGATAATGTTAACTTGTCAAAAATAGTTCGACAAGTTATATCAAACTTATACAACTTGTAACAAATTATCTTCAATGATAATTATATAATCGATCAGCAAATTATGTTCAAATATTATTTATTCATATTCTATGTATGAAATAATGATTTAATTATCATTAGTTCTGATAAAAAGAGATTAAAAACGTATAAAGTTTGCAGTTTCAAAATTACTTTTCAAGAGGGAAATTCTACGGGGCAACGATGGAACTCAAACGAGTATTCCGGGCTAATTTCTCTGTAAGTAAAATAATAACTTTTTCGTCATATTATATGACTATTTTTATATAACTATAACTTGGGTAAAATTTACAGAAAAATTTTTCCCCAGTGCTTACACACTTACTCGGATCACGCTATTGACAACTACGAAGGTGTGGTGCAGTACACGATCACGGACATCACTCCACACACCACACTGTACGCCGTGGCCTGTCCCATCTCAACATACTGGTATGTGTAAAATACTGGTATATTTGATATATATTGGGTTGTGTGATATGCTGGTGTTTAATATATTGTTGTGGAGCCACTCAAACTGGTGGTAACATTTTTGTGGGCGAACATTTTCGGGACCATGAACGATTTTTACTTAATTATTCGCCATTTCACAGAAATGTTCACGCTTTTACTGTGTTGAAACTCACGTTTCAACAAATACCGTAAGTTCACATCATACATTGTGTTAATAGCGTAAAATTTTGTTCATACATTGCTAAAATTTGGTGCAATTTTCCACCCTGGTCAGTAGGATCATTAAGAACGCGATGATGACGTCACCTCGTCCAGGCGCCATGGAGCAAGTGTCACGGTATGACCGCGCCTGGAGACTTGCTAGGTGGTACAGCAACACCAGGGAGGTGCGCTACTCCAACCACAGTGCAACGTATTACGGCCTGGCGTAGATGTAGCCTCAAAGTGGTGCGCCAATCTGTAGGTGGTGCAGCAACACCAGGGAGGTGCGCTACTCCAACCATAGAGCACAGTATTATACGGCCTAGTGCCAAAGGATACTGGTTGAATAGAACCACAGGTGAACGCATTACGACCTAAAATAAATTAATTTAAAAAAATATTTAATATTGTTTTATTTTAATTTGCTTTGATTTAGTTACTTATTCCCGAAGGAGCACACGTTACAATGAAAAATAAAAAGAGACGTGAAATAAAATAGCAAGGCTTCCAGGTGATTGCCCATATAAGCTAAAAAAGCCGCGCAGGCAAAACAATAGGTTCAAAACTCAATTCCAATGATAACAAGACGACGATTAGAATAAATAAGTAACAAATTTCTAAAATAATCAAAACCATTAACAAAAGCCTTAAAAATGATAACCGTATGTCATAGTAGAACAATTAGCATATCAGAGGCTATCAACATTAGACTTAGTAAAACAGAGTACAACTGCAAACATCTAGCCAAAATGCCTAAAACTTGCATAATTATCGAAGTCAAATTAATACTAGTTAAGGATAAAATCAAGGTATTTTTTTAAACATTTTAGAGCAATCTTGTTTGAACTGATCTGGCAATTCGTTAAAACATTTGACACACTGAAAAACGGTACCACTCTTTTCTATTGCTAAACAAACCTGTGGTAAGTTAAATGGTTTTGAGAATGTTAGTTAGTTGTGAGAATGTTGGGGAACAAGAGGGGCGAAAGCAGATTTAAAAAGACGTTCATTATGGTAAAAAGCTCTATTCATTAACTTTAAAAGTTGAAATCTGAACATATCGTCAAGTTTTGAAATTTTCGACCACCTACATATATAATTCGTTACTGCATATCAAAGCATATCAACGGAATATTATTATCGTCCTACCTAACCCTAAGCATAGAACGCAATGATTTATTAAGGAATGTGATGACCCGTTTTTTTGTATTGAAAGGTACACCACCCCAGATTACTATGAAGTGCTTTATAGTTTTGAAAAAAAGGCGTAAAAAGCGTTTTTTATGAAGGGAAAGGTAATACATTTGATAAAGCACGCAAAATACCGTGGGCTTTACTCAGTCCCTGACATACGTGGTTAATGTGTTTGTTGAAGGAGATCTTGTTATCTAGGATTAAACCAAAATACCTGAATTCATCTACCCATTGTAAATTGTGTTATTGAAGGTGATGTTGTAGCTGCGCTATACGTCTGTCTTTTGTTTGTCCAGGTTCATGCTGGCGACGAGTAGGATGCGTTGCATTCGACCTGTCTCTTTTTAATGATCAGCGTTGAGGGCGACTGCAATCTCGTGTCGCGTGAATTTTGGAACATTATTTAGTAATTTTATCGATCCTATGGTTGTTAGATTACCGTAGCAGTGACCTTCCTTTTTTCTTTGAGTGGCGGGTAAGCCTTGAGAGCAAATGATGTCTATACGAAATGTCGATACTCTTTGCTTGGATTTGTATTAGATAGTTTGGCACAATTCCCACCGTGTTGAAATGCATAGGATAATTGCTGATGTACACCCCGTAATTTTCTTATTTTGTGGCAGAGCGTAGGTTGATAAGAACATTATGCTACTTCGTGTATTTAATGCTTATTCCAGGTGGACGTGGGCACCAGACTTACCTTCTCTCTTATGGTTACGAGAACTTCCAATGAGACACCTTGAATTTCCAATGCACTGGAGGAAGTGAAGAGCCCAAGCTTTATAAGAGTGAAAACCGATACTTCATGTAGTAAAGTGGTTCACGCTGGCCGGGAAATAAACACCTGGAGACCACTGCTTCTACTGCGAAGTTAGGGTACGGCCAGACTAAAAGCGTTGGCGCGTACGCAGGCGTACGCGCGCTCACGCTGCGATATTATATGTATGTATTTCTACCAGAGTGGCCACACTAAACGCTTACAGGCTGAAGCTGCCTCAAGCGTACACACGCGTTGCCGCGCGGTGGAAAATCGACATTACTCTAGACAAATATTTCGACGCGGAGTCGCGGACACGCGCGTTCAGTGTCCTTGAAGCAGCCATGAGAGAAGGATGTCGACGCATTGCTCTCGTCAGTTGAGGCGGTACCTGCAATCTGGGATGCCTCTCACCCTCAGCACAGTGATGGGACAAACATCAGCATCCATTGGTCTATGATAGCTGATGCACTCAATATTTCAGCTAATAACAGTAATAATACATTCTTTTATTCAACAAAGAGAATAGAAGTGAACGAACTTAGCACTCAGAGCACTTGGATATTCTTATTGTTTATTTAGAGCACATGATACTGCCAAGCAACTTTTCCTGCATCTGATACGAAATAATTTGTGAATTTTTCCCGGACATCTGTTGCAATTCTACAGCTGTTTCTAAGAACAGGAGCAATTATAGTTTCAGGTTGATCATTCGATGCATTCAATTCCATTGATAAGCCGTGTCTTTATCAAATTTCTAACAAGTAACAAGAATCACGTTGCGCAAAACCGTAATTGCTTTAATTATTTCTGCAGCATTATCCATGCTGGTCTCGATGGATTTCGTTAAAAATCTGAATTTTGAAATCATAATGCCAAAGGTGCATTCTACACAACGCCGAGCTCTTGATAGTCTGTAGTTATATATTTACTTGCTTTCATCTATGTATTGGCGGGGGCATGGTCTCATTAAGTTAGGAAGCAATGGGTAAGCTGCATCGCCTTGCAATACAAGTGGCGTTTCATCATGACTCATATATAACCTCATGCATCATATAAGGTATGCATCATATATAACCTCATCTGAACGGATTCCAAAAAAGACAAAATAAAGTATGTATGGGATTTTTAAATTTATCTTTCATTTCCCTATAACACTTTCATCAAGGAGAACGGCTGTTAGTCTCTCGTAGACACTCATTTCTACACACTGACTCGCAGTAAGCTGCGCGGTTCAGCGTCTAGTTTGGACACCATACGCGCGGCGAGGCGCCGCTCTGCTTGAAGCTTCAGCCAGCGTACGCGTGAACGCTTTTAGTCTGGCCGTAGCCTTAAGGCGTTCATCGCGCTTCTGGTAGTTTGTTCGTGCATTTTCGCATTGTTTCAATGGTGTATGACAAGTGGATTAGGGTTAGTGTTTCTTGCAGATTTTAACAAGGTCTCATTATTGTATGCTGTACTCTTACCTTGATATAATGCGCATTGGTTTTTGGAGTCTCCGAGTAAACCTTTGTACCCCTAGATTCGTGGAAGTTTTTATTATCGCTATCGCGTCAAAAATTGACGGATAGCCTAAATATGTTGGAAGCTCTCCCACAACAATGTCACGTAAAACGGAATCGGGTCTGGGAGTAAGAAGCATCAACTTAGTTTTGTCTGTGTATGCCACTAGCTTGTTTGCTAGATGACAGATTCAATGACAGCTCTGATATATCAATTGTCGCAGGCTTCGTCATACGAGTTTCTCGAGACATAGAACACGGCGTCATCGGCAAAAAGCTTACAGTTCACATTAAAAGATGGAGATATCATTAATAAAAATATCAAAGAATAAAGTCTCAAGTACAGAGCCCTGAGGTACACCTAGATTGATGGGCCTTAAGGAGGAATTGAACTCATTCAATGCGACGAACTGCTCTCTGTTCGTGAGGTAAGACTGACTAAGTATAAGGAAAATCCCCCTAACAGCATAGCGGTGGAGCTTGCCCAATATTACTTGGTGATTCATACAAAGGCCTTTTGTAGGTCCAGAAAAAAGCGATGTAGGGGATTTTCCTCCCTACGCTCGAGGATATTCCTCTTTCAGAAATAGTCTTTATTTGCTAAAATTCAGGGAAAGGGAGTTGAAACAAATGAACATAAATTGCGGTAGTTTTAATCGAAATTAAACAGTTGCTGGTACAGCATTCAGAGTTAATGCAGATTCCGCTTCAGAAGAGTAAATCCATTTTTGGAAAGCAGCGTTTACGAGCGAGGGCGACGCCAGAAGTTCACAAGGAAGTCATACTGTTCGAAATAGATCCTTGTTTACAATTAAGCTATGAATTTTTGGTCACTTTGTATTCTCAGCAATTTCAATATTAGTTCGAATTCAAGAGTGTAGCTCACCTTATTTAATTGAAAATAAGTGCACCACACCAGTGCTTCATACGATAATGGTAATACGAGTAAGATTAAAGGCAATTGAATAAATTTAGGTGCGTGCGGGGGCTCGCTCAAATTAAGTGTCACCATTGGTTTGAAGGGTGGATCGCTTTAGCCACTGGCCACTTTTCGTTCAATAGTTGGGAACACACGAAGTTCCAAATGAGAATTTAAGTAATTTTTAGTAGTTTTTAAGTAATTCAAGTTGCAAAGCTTTACATTTAAAGTTTTACTATGCGATTGAACTAGCCGGCCAAAGCGTTCCAAAAGAAGTGAAAAGCTTCGAGTAACTGCGACTCTGCCTTTCTTCTTCTTCTTCTTTTAGAGCTGAGGGAGCTCTGGAGACTCGTCCAAGGCAGCCCCCCGACAGAATAGTGCTCAGGATTTGCGCAACTGTGGGCAAAAAGACAGAGATGAGGCATTGCAGAGAGACTCTGCCTTTAATAGGCAGAACAAGATCTTGTTCTTCGTCGCAACTGACTCAGTAATCAGGTTGGAAAATATTTCCAACAGCGAAACACATTATCCTTTAGAATGATACGTCTTGAGAAGGTCTAGAACTAAATAAAATATGGCCATAGTTGTGTTGGTTCCCTTAAGGAAACCAATCTGATCATTAGAAATTATTGAAAACTTATTGAAAAATTTATGAGTCTAGAATGCAGGATTTTTTCAAAAATCTTATTAAGAAATGGCAAGGTTGATATTGGACGATAATTACAGACATTGTGCGGGTCACCGGATTTAAAAATAGGTATAACGCGAGCACGTTTCAGTGAATCGGGATACACACCACAGGACATACATAGGTCAAAAATACGAGCCAAAACTGGTGCTACCGGGTTCAGCTACAAGATACAACATTCTTGGCTGAACTTCATCGATCTGAAGTGGCTTGCCTTTGCACAACCGTAAGAATTTCTTAATTTCAAGTTCAGAAGTAGGGAAAAGGAAGCAAGATGCTTCACAGATAGGAATTTCATGCGACACATCATTGTTCACAGGACCTAAGTTTATAGTGATGTCATTTGCAACAGAGATAAAATAATTG